CCACAAGACGCACTTTTGCGTCTTGTGGGAGCCCCATATTGCATATTCATTGCAGAAAAAGTACTAAATGGATAAGAGGCGCTATTTAGCACGTTTTAAAGACCAAATCCTTTTAGCACGCTGTTGATAGATCAGTTTGTACATTTTTTAGTGTGCGCAGTGAAATAGCTCACATTTTTATACACGCAAACCTTTGATAGATCCGGCCCTCAGTGAATTAGGACCTATCATGAACCAAATAATGATGCTGAGAGAGGCAGCTGTGGTAAATAGAGTAAATCTTGCATTTCATGCAGTTTAGCTATATATATTTTATTAGTTTATATATATATCTTTGCAACTTTCTTGTTTTCACTATTAACATGCAGACCTTGCTCTGACCATTACTTCAGACTTCGCAGTCTCTATTATGTCCGGATTTTCCTTATTAGGTCTTGAAACAAAAACAATTTTGAAGAAAAGAACTAATGGAAAAACAAATCTGAGGCAAAGCTATTTTTAATTTATTCATTTTTGGTGAAATGCGCTGGCATTAAAACATACCACAAGGTTAACAGGTCATTTTCCTAATTTGAGGGCATCTGTTTATACATTTTTCAGGAGAATTTTTCAGTCGTTTTTTTTGTAGCCCTGCAGACCTTTTCCTTCTGACGCTGGCATGCTGCCTTGAAATTGTGTGATCCTTGTTTTTTTTGTTGTTTTATCTTTTAGATTTTGATTTCAAAACGATCACAACAGTATTGAAATAGACAAAAACTATTTTGAAAATGTTTCATCGCATTTTGCTTTGTGCATAGCTTTGCTTTATGCATAATCACATAAAGGGAAATAAACTGATTGGAATTTTATTCCAAGTTACAAGCTCACTAATGTAGCTTTAACTAAGAGTTTTCCCACTTTCTTTAGCTGAGCTTTAATTACAGTACCAGTGAGAAAGAGACTTTGTTGGTCATGCCGGTTTTCTATATTTACCTGGATATTTTGCTTTTAAATTGTCAAAGTCCTTGATGTTACCAACATAGTGAAACACTTTGTATTTTTTACTTCCCTCTGATTTGAATATGCAGTGTATATCAAGCTACATTTAATTATTGTCAAATATTTATAATTATTTAAGTTATTACCAATTATTTAAGTTACCAAATAACCTGTCTTTTTGTGTATATATATATATACACAGATAATTATATATATATATATATATATATATATATATATATATATATCTGTGTTTTTTCCCCATGATTATTTAGTCTTTATTCCAGTTACTTAATCTTTTGTAAAAAAAAAAAAAAAGGAAAAAAAAGTGCATTTGCAAAGGTTCGTCTTCAAAATCATTTCTGTTGTTTACAAAAACCTTCTTTTAGCCTTGAGAAACAAAATGACTGAATGTAGGAAGATGTTGAAGTCAGGTTACCTCTTTGTAAAAGACCTCCAGCCAAATGCCAGAGCTTGATAACAAAATTCTTAGTTGACAAAGTTGAATGCATCCTTTTTCAGCGGTTAGGTAAGTTATCACACCTAAGATTTAAATAGTTAAACATTTTTCAGTCCTTTATCTAACTTACTGAAACTTTCAAAAACTCTACATATAGTGAATAACTGTAGTGATTTTTTTTTTTTTATTAAGTAGAGATAAATTTGGTCTAACACAAAAATGAAATGTGAAAATGATGAGTAGCCATTTTTTACTCACTGAGCTCAATTAAATAGGAAAATAACCACAAATCTCTTTAGATTTAAAGAAAAGAAAGAAAATGTGTCAGCATTGAGTGAATCTAAGAGTCGACTTTAACTGACTTAGGTGAAATGATTGATTTTATTCACTCAAATATCTGGAACCTGAGAGAGAGAGGGCAGCAGCACCACTGAAGAGGGCTGAATGGGCAAAGAGGGAGTTAGGGGACAAAATGAGAGGCGTTGGATTAGATAAAGGGGCTAACTATTATAAGCCACTTGAAATGGATGAGTGGACAACGCTGCTGCAAAAAGGGCAAGAGTAAGACAGCATGCAGTCTGAGGGAAGGCGAGAGTGGAGTGAAGCAGTAATGACTGCAGAGGGACTTGTGCATGATTCTCATTTCTATGTTAATGCAAGGCCCAGAGCAAAGTGCTGAGGTGCGTCATTAAGGATAGACAATGAGCTCTGACCCGCCAACACGCACCGCGTTACATGGGGACTGCATTTTAAAGAGAGCTGCCCCCCCCCCAAACAACACCGGCTGGTAATAACTGTGTTGCCAGCAAGGTTACATCAAATTAAATGTTTATGTATATTTCATAGAAATGCGAACTCACCTGGCATTTAAATTAGACATCAAGCTCTTCTCCACAGATGGCAAGGAATTTAAAACGGATTTAACTCTTGCGCACATTAAAGTTAATTAGTTTTGAGATTGGAGTTGCAGTGCAGTCAGCACAATTTACTCTCATTGAGTTTATATGTCGAATTGCGGAAGCATATATTTAATTTACAAATAGAATTCCCTGCAAGATGCAATTTTTTCCCCCCTCCGTCACATTTAATTTAGCCATTTCTGGGATCACCTCCGTGAGTCATGTTAAACTTCTTTTACTTTCTTTTCTTTTTTTAACATGAGAAGATGAAGATGAGGATGAATCTGGAGTGGATACAGAAGACGAGCTCCAGAGGTATGTAAGCAGAGGAAATAATACAAACTGATCTTATTTTCAAGACTCTAGGTTAGTTTTGATTAATTGAATTTTAGATGCAGTTAAAACAAACTTGCCTCTATTTTAATTTCAAAAAGTAAACAATGGGCAAACAGTGGATCATTGATTTAAAAAAAGATTCAAAGATGGGTATGAAATCATGGAATCTTTTTTAATTTACTGCTTTTGGACAAAAGTAGTTGCTACTGCGACTAATTTTAAAAAGAATTAAAAACAGTGAAAACTGAAAAGCGTAACGTATTAGAATTTTATACAGAGAAAAGATTTATAAGCATATCCTTGTTTGAAAACTTGTTTTCTGTGTTTTGAGAAGACCAACCGGAAATGTTTCCTTTCATTATGACCACTGAACGATTTCACTTCAAATGTTTTTCTTCTGTCAAAGGGTGGAAAGCAGGCAGAAAAAAGCCGCCGTGAAGGAATCATCAGTGAAAGAGGAGGATCCATATGGGGGGTCTACGGATGAAAACACAGATGCTGAAGCAGAAGAGGATTATCCCATCCCTGAGCTGCCAGGTACGTCTGCCTCTTATGTAGGAGTCTTCCTCTCTGCTATTCATGTCCCACTTTCAGGAACACATCTGTCTCTGAAGGTCTGATGGATGAGAGGCCGCAGCTGCAGCTCCTCACAAAATTGATGGCCAAACACCCATGTGTCTATTGTTAGATTTGGTGTGGCCTTTCTTTTGACAAAAAGCATCTATAAATTGCTCTCCTCCATATTGTCTGGTTTTGGCATCTGCCTCCTTTGAATGTTTTCTTTTGGTCTTTACCAGACTTCCTCAAAGGAAAGCACTTTTTACTGTATGGAAAATTCCCAAACAACGAGAGGCGACTACTTCTACGATACATCGTTGCCTTCAATGGGTAGGAAAAAACTTTTGTATAATTTTAAATATTCTACTTTTTGATAAAAAGTTTGTCTGATTCACACTGAATTAACAGAAACCTTTCAAAGATGCAATATATTCAGATATAATTCATATCTCACTGCTTTTTTCTTTCTTTTTCAGAGTGATTGAGGACTACATGTCAGAGAAAGTGCAGTTTGTTGTGACCAGTGAAGGATGGCATGAATCCTTTGAAGATGTAAGGCCTCTCCCTCTGAAATGTCATTTAATAAGTGTAGTATTTAATTTTCGAGTGAATTATGCACTTTCCTCTGTTTACGACTTCCAGCATATAATTCAGAGACCAATTTCTGCAGGTGATTGTGTAAATTCTTGCTCAATTATGCAGATTATTCCTCTAAAGCAGCTTTTGAGGAATATTCTGTATGTATACATCAAAGCGGTGTTTTTGCCCGATATGAAGATATGATGGAATCATCAAGTAATTAGTTTAGATCATTTTTGCTTCCTCAGAGTTTTTACAAGTTATCAACTATTATCAGACTTTGTAGCTGGGTTGGTTTACATAGACATGCAGGTATTTCCTTTACATTGAAATGTTGTTTCCAATTTTATACCTATTAACTTAAAAAATAATACTTTGTTTTAACTTTACTTTCAAGGTTGAAGCTTAAGTTTGGGATCCCACAGTAAATGGAGAGATTAGATTAGATTATAACCCAACACATAAGCCTTTAAAAAATATTGAACTAGAATTAAAGATGCACCGATCAGGAGTTTGGGAGCCGATCGCAATGACCAAAATCCCAATATTGTTGATGACGGATCATAGCATCAAAACCAACAATTCCTCAATGCTGTTTTCTCATGTAAATTTACATTGTATTATTAGGTATAAAAATTAGGAAATGAGAAGGAATCATGAATTAACCATTGATTTAGTGAAGGAGGCAGCTGAGAGAATTTTTTTTCAATTAAAATGGGATTTAGAGAAAATTATCTCGACAAAGGATGAAGTTGGGAATACTCTTATGAGGTTCATTTGTGTCTTTTAAAAAAAGTTGTAATTTTGCCCTAGAAAGACTATTCCTCTTCCTACCTGCAGCGCAGACAGCCGCCTTCTGTCCCTGCTGCAAGCTTCTCTGCGGTCCTCCTTCCTCCTACCTCCAGCAGTTAGCCTCTAGCTAGCACTAGCAAGCCTCACCCTCTTCCCTGCTCTGATGCGCTGTCTGCCCTGGGTCCTCCTCCCTACACCTCTGATCTTCTCCAAACTACATACTGATTTCCTGCTGCTCCTGTCTGAGGTTCAGGACGCCGTGTCACATTACCTCTGTTGTCCCGGTGACTCGTCCCCCTGTTTTGGGTGCTGTGAACAAAACAAACATGGACCAAGTTCTGAAGAGATTCGCGTCCACTCAGAAAAATGACTGTTGCTATAAATTGTTCATCATCATAATGACTCGCCGGTTGCCGGTCTTAGCCGATCACTTATAAACCTGCCCATTTGTGCTGCCGATTGCCCAGTGCAGGTCTAACTGGAATGAGGTTGTCAGTGTATGATGATCTAGTTAAATAATCTCTACTTGAGTGCTTACACAAACCTTTTTGACATTTTCTGAAATTTTATTTGCATTTGTCACATTTATCCACTTTAAACAGACCAGGGTTTGTTCCCCGTGTCCTGAACCTTTGGTAAGGACCAATAACACCGAAGCAAAACATTGACTGGACCAGGAAACTGGACCGAAGTGCAACCTCTGATGTCGTGCAGGTCGGCTTTCAAACAGCCTCTAACGCAGTCAGCGTCTGTTCTGAATGCAAACTGGACCTGATATGTTGCAACTACGGAAAACATGCATCTCTTTGGACTGAACCAACCACTATAGCAGTGGTACAGAAATTATTCAAGACCCGCCTCTCCCTCTGCTTTCTCAGGCATCCTGCCAACAGCATGCCATGGGTCTCATCCGGCAATGCCATTCTGATATAAGATAAAACTGAGCTGAATTTCAAAGGAGACAATGACTCTGCAGCTTCTTTGAAGGCACAGATATGCAGAACAGAGTTGCTGCATGCAGGACTCCCATAATAGTTTTCCATGCTCTGTCTCGCCATCATCATTTCTCCTCAACAGGAACAGCAACCTATATACTTGAGGCTTTCTTTACAACTTATAGTTCACAATGCGAAACAAAAACTGCACAAAACAGAAGAAGATAAAGTCCAGTCTTGGTCCAGACCAAAGGAGTGGACCAAAAGACTCTCCTGGTGTGAATACAAACTTTGACAACCTATCTGTTGAATCAAATCCCTTTTACAATGAACTAAATGTGTTTAGGTGTTATAACTAGAGACGCATCGATCAATTAACCAGATATGTAACTATTTCCCTTGGTCAACAGTTCAAATACTAAAAGTTTAAATTTTATTTTCTTTTTGTAAAATGTTTCAAAACTAGGACCTCCTCTTTAGCTTTGTTGTATAAGCCAAAAGTTAAGGAGAAAAGGTAATACAAACAACTTAAAAGTTTCTGTTCACAATGTCCTTATTAAAAACTCGTTGAGGGGCAAAAATCTGAAGCAGATTTTTATTTTCTCGATGCTCCATACAGTCAAGGAACACTTTCGTCACAAGGAATTTACTTTGACAGCACAGGAAAAAAAATTGAACTGTAGAAATGGTCAGTTCTAAACCATTTGGAATACAAAATGCTTTAATATGCCAGACTATAAGCTGCTACTTTTTCCCACGCCTTGAACCATGCAGCTTATAGGAAGGTGCAGCTTTTCTTTGGATTTTTTCTATCCACCAGAGTGGGAGGTCATGGTTGGAAGTTAAAGAATAAGGGGCTAATTTAGGGGAGTGGTGACCTAATGGTTAGAGCATTGCACCTGGGTGGCGGAGGTTCTGAGTTTGATGCCCACTCCCACAGAGAGCCACTCTGGGTCCCTGAGCAAGACCCTTAACCCCTCACTGCCCCCCAGGTGGCGCACAATGGCAACCCACTGCCCCCCAAGGAGATGGGTCAAATGCAGAGATGAATTTCTTTAGTGTAAGATTAATAAAGTTCAGTAATAAAAAATAAAAAAAGATTCACTTAGCACAAGAACATCCTGGCAGCAGGATGGATGGAGAACAATTTCGCATATTTTGACATTTATTTGCCGCATTAAAGCTACTGAACCAATGAAGAGACGGGGCTGAACTCCTGTATGGCTGAAATAAAGAGCTGACAAAGCTCCATCTTCCAGTAGAAGCTCTTACTACTGGGAGTCAATAAGCTAACGGGAGCTAGCATTCTCCTTCCTCTCTAATCCAGGGGCTATATGTAGAGCTCCCCCTACAGGTTTGGTGGAAGACAATTCAGCAGATATCAGTGGCTTATAGCTCGGTGCAGCTTATATATATATATATATATATATATATATATATATTCAGTGTTTTCCAAAAAATGTAGTGGGTGTGGTTTATAATGAGGTGCGCTCTATAATCTGGAAAATACAGTACCTTGATACCCAGGCCTTTTTAGCCATTATATGGTAGATAAACATAATCAACGTGCCTCATTGAACATCTGTTTATGGTTTTTCAGATAAAACAGGGTGACTTCTGGTCAGTACTTCTTACTTGGGTGCTGCTTTAAATCAAAACACAATTTGATCTTTCTAGCTATAAAATCATCACAATAAGGCTCTTAAAGTTTATCTTCAAATATTTACACAATTTTCTGTTGTTCACAGGCGCTGATGGACAATTGTAACCTGAACTTTGTGAAGCCTGCATGGATTTACGCCATCAATGAACGTCAGAAAATGCTGCCCTATCAGCCTTACACTGTCGTGCCCTGATGAATACAGCGTACGCGAACACACTGAGGAGTCTGAGACACAGTTCAACTCCTGATTGATACACTGAAGGGAAAAGCCATAGTTCTTTTTTTCTGATTATCCACTTCAAAGAAGCAATAAACCATTGATTGTTCATTCGTTTTTTTGGGGGGGGGGGTTTGTGGTTATATCGACGTACATGATGGTAATGAAATAACTTAAGATGCTTTCCCTTTAAGCTTTCAATGATAGAATTAGTTATAGATTTTTGTTTATTAACTTCTTGTGTTAGAGTTGTTAGTCACAAGCCAGCAGAAAGAGAGAACCATCATTCATGTGAAGCTCATCTCTTGGACATTACAAAAAAAGACAAAATGCCTGCTTCGGAGCTTGTTGGAGTTTCTCGACACACGCGCAGCTGCTGTCTGCTGCTGCTCCCCTCTGCAACCTCAGGCTACTGGATGGGAATGAGTAATGATGTTGTCCTGACTGCCAGTGGCACTGATAAGAGACTCACTGTTGCAGACTGTTAGACTTTATGAGATCAACCCAAAGTCAAGTGATAGGTTGAGGTTATTTAAAGCTGTAGTCAAGAATTTGACAAAGTTACATCAGAAATGGCGGAACTTGACTAAAAATATTGAAGGTGAAGGTGTGTGTTTTATGTTTTATATTCTGTTTCAGTGACTGCTCTCTTTATGGTTAAAAAAGATGAGAACATGTGTTATTTAGGCAATAAAGAGGCACTTCAAATTTTACATCACTGATATTTTAAAAATGCCTACCTTCTTTACATTGCAGCATGTGGTTTGTTTGGGTTCTCCTCTCTACAGCAAAATTTGATTATTAAAAAAAAATGTTTTGTATTGCTGTAGTACATAATTATTTTGTCCAAATAAAAGTGTTTTTTATCGAAGAATTTGGCTGTTGTTATTAATTGCTTATTACTGTTGCTTATTAATCCAACTTTTTACTTTTCTCTAGCTTCAACTCTGCTTGCTGCTTGAGAGGCTCTTCTTTTCCATTCCCTCTCTGATCTCGAGTCCTCTCTCCACTCTAATTTACTTCTCCTTTTTTGTGCCAAGAGCCACTGGGTCTCCTGCACTTCAGTCAAGGGAATTAGAAGCATGGTATGCGGACGAGAGATGGGGAAGTAGGGGTGGTTACAGGGGAGACTGAATTCAGGGAAGATGAAAAGGTTGGAAATCTCTGCAAGGATGCATTTTTAAAGCAGTGGAGTATTGGATTGTCTGGCTGTATTTCTTGTGAAAGGCGGCTCACACACATACAGCTGAGAATGTTGAGCCCTTTCCTGTAACTTTGTGCTGTATTTGCCTTTTATAACAGGTTGAGTTTGGGGTCAAACTCATTTATGTCCTAAAGTGAGAAAATCTAGTCTGTGAAAGGGGTCGACCAAATGCAGCACCTTTTCCCATTTGAACCCATCTCCATCTTCTTGGTGACACGAAAGTTTTTTAAGGGGCTATCTCTCCTCATTCTTGACTGCTTAATTCATTCCCAAAAGATTTCTTATTTGCTCTTTGTAACAGTATTTATGTTTCATGTAAAGCTTGGGCTATTATTGCCTGCCGCTTCAACAGTAAAGATTTCTTTCACTCTGATCTTAAGCCTCTGATTTTATGATTATGGCATCTTAAGCTGCTGGATATGCTATTGTTCTGATTTTCATTCATTCATTTTTTTATTTTAATATATTTGTCACATTAAAAATGTAGAATTATAAAATATTCTTTGATTTTAGTTCTGCCCACAAACTTTAAGACTTTCCCAAATGTTGATACCCTATATTGCCAAACGCATTATAACGTCTCCTTTTGCACATATACTGTAATTATTTCCCCTCTATAGGATTTGAAATTATGTCAATCCACACTTTGCATCTTTAACAGCTTTGCATCTTCTCTGGAGGATTTTCATTTGGAAATCTGTTATGCAAGATTTTTAATTCTCCAAAGAAGCATATTTGTTGGCAACTCAAAATGGGTCTCACACTTTTCCATGCATTAAAGTTCTTCCATACCAAATTGGCTCATCCACATTTGTATGGCTTAGTCTTTAAAAAAAAAAAACTGTTTAAAAACTGTAGCGAAGTGTCATTTTTCATGGAGTACCATATTGTAACTGAACTGCTTATCTTTCCATCAGCTTCGACGTTGTTACAATACTAACAGATGAGTTACACATCTAGTATTATAAAAGTATGATGACTTGTTGGGTGATATCCCATTATGTTGGCCACCTTGATTTTACTCACCTGTGAAGTGAGTAATTGCTTCAAACTCACATTTGAAGCAATTGGAGCGCTTTGATTTTAAAGTTTGGATAGGTTAGCATTATTTTCTGCCTGCTTATTCTATTGCAAATCCAGCTTTGACATTTTTGTTAAACCAAATTAGGTCCATGTCAGCAATCTGACAGCTGTCACACTAAGATGGAAGGGAATTAATCAGGAGCCGAGCCTAATTTGTAAGATGTTACTGTTGATGATGATGTAGTCCACACCTTGTCTTTGGTACATGTAACCAGGTTTTTACGGTGGTGAGATCACACTTCTTCTCTCTCCAGCTCTCCACAACCACTATTGAGAATTTTTTCTATGGATAAACTTTACATGCACAAGTTCACCCTCATAAACAATTACAGGTGCTTGGCTCCAGGTACTTAGAGATTCACTTCCAAACAGAAAGCCCACATTCATATCTTCAGGTAACACAGAGTACATGTCAGATTTAATAATATTACTTTAGCGATAGTTTCAAGGTGTTGCTTTATTGTATATCTCGTACCATGTCTTTTGGTCATGCTGTTCTTTTTTCATCTCGTTACAGGTGATGAAGCAGACTGAAAATGTTTTGTCATTATCTCCTTTCTATCTCCTCTTTCTTTCATCTTTTTTCTTTTTTTTCTTTTTTCCTTTTTCTTCTTCTGATTTTCTGCTCTATTTACATTGCAGTGTCCATATAAACTGTAAAATTCCCTGCATAATTATAATAAAGCAATTTATATGCATGTCACAAGTGTAGCAGTATGGCAATTGCCATACTGCTACACTGCTATCTGTTGGGCTCTTGTCTTGGCATCAAGACAATTATTCTTATTGCCACATTGCCAGACAGGAAAAAAAAAAAAAAAAAAAAAAAAAAGAGATCACACTTTTTGCATGGGAAACCTGACCAAAGCTCCAAACCGGATTTTAAAGAGCACTTTACAGCAAGAGCAATTGTTTTGCTCTTTTCGTGTCACTCAACGTTTTAATTAAGTAAAAACATTTTACCTGAGTACCTGAAACAACAATAATCTACAGCTAGTACTTCTGAATATGTAAATCTATTACAGAGAGTTAGCATGCCATGATTAGTCATCGGCTTTTGGTCATTTTTCCAATGCAGAAATTGTTTTAAACAAAATGTCATCTGTCATGTGATGTGGAACTTCAATTTTTTAATTTTTAACATACCTGCTTACGTCAAGGTAAATGACTGCTTTCGCTAGTTTTAATTTAAGTTCAATGTTACTCACTAATTTATTTATTCAGAACTGAAGTATTCTGCATACTTTTCATATTGATTCTATATGGAGTTAAACTTTCATAAGGTATGGGAAACTCATCCAAGCTTTTCCCAAACTCAAACTCCCTGCTACGTATAAAACGTGAACCAGGACCTTAATATATATGAACCAAATACCACTTGACACTGGAATTTTTATGATGTAGTTTAAATCAAAGGCATACCACCTAAGGATTTTCTCCCCAGCCGGTGCGCCATCATTACTATGCAGAAATTGTATGCTGTAGAGAATGCGGAAGGTTGTGCACAAGGCTTTTTTATTTTAGGTCCCTGGTGATGAATAGCATTTATGAAGATGAGCCTCATAAGAGTTACAGTGAAAAAGTATTTCTACAAGTTTTTAAACTGAAGGCCCTAAAACAGAAAAAAAAATTTCACTTAGAAAGTTTAAAAATAATGTTTTTTTTCCCATCCACTTCACAAGTCTTCATTATTTTTATGGACATAGAAAAGTCAAATAAATTGAAATAAATAGTTTGTGGTTGTAAAATGGTTAAATCTTAAAAAGGACTCTACTTCATGAAAATATTTAAACCTTGAATTTAAAGGAAATCTAAATGATGCATTTTGATTATCTCCAATAAACACTTAGTAAACTTCACATAGCTTGTAGTTGATTGAAAGTAGTATCATGTGAAAGTCACTAATTAATATTTGATAATGCAAATAATTTATGAAACCTCCAAACCTAATTCATAAACTGAGCCAGAGTTAGACACCAATCCTAAATTCATCTGCTTCTATTTTCTCCACCTTCTTTTTCTTGTTTCTTGGATTTGTTAGGTAGGTGGGCTGCCCTCTTTTTGAAGCTCCTTTATTTTTCAGTTAGACTTTCTTTTTTTCTTATTTATTTTATTTCCACCCTGCTCTCAGTGACAATGCTTATCAGCTTAAAGGGCTCAGGCAGGATTTCTTTTTATCATTTCAGGTAAACATATCAGCATCCTGCTTCTAAACCAGCCCAACTGATAAAAACCAATAAAGTAAATCTGTCATGATGAGAAAATCACTGAACCTTTTTTCCAAGGCTTACCTGAACCTATCTTCAGTAATGCACTGCTTCAAAAATATTTATGAACTGTCCCTGTAAGCAAAGCCTAAAAACTGCATCCTAAAAATGTGTTTTCTGCTGAGGGAGATTTACTTTAAGCCAAATGATTTCCCCACTAATTCATTTGGCTTCTGCTCTGAAAATAGTCTATTCATAATTCAAAAAAATGCTATCATGTCAAAGTATATTAGAATATACTGTAAACATCTGCTGGAATCCATATTACCAGAGAAATTTCCATAGCAATTCAAATTTATATACTAAAACCAGTTTATGGAACATCAGTTCCTATCTTTAAAGAAACTAAACATTATGATTTAACTTTTTATCTGCATGATTGCACTGTTTTCATGTAATGTATGACCTCTGCAGTCCGTGATTAGGGTTGTCTTTTGCCTCTGACATTGGTACTGCTGAGATACTAAATCAATGTGAGCACATTTCATTAGT